CCCACAACAGCATTACGGCGAGACAGCCGCCTTAGACTAAATAGTATGTCTCCCATTCTTCGTAATTAAAGGTCAAACCATCTCCACTCATCCGTTCTATATCGTTGTTCTCCGCCGATTCTCGAAACACGGCTTCGTCGCCCGTATTGATAAACACCTGCTTTCCTTATCCAGTACTTGGCGTTGTTATTAAATACAGCTAATTAATTTGTCTTTACAAAACAGGGCCACATAAAATTTTACCCTTACGTATAAATGACGATTAAATATTCCCTTATTTATGATACTAAGTACAACAAATACTATTAACTGTTTTCAACAATTACTAAATTTGCAAAAAAAAACATTGAAGTGTCTTTTTCAACAAAATTCCTCCCAGGTCCTACCAAATAAATTAAAAAATTTTACATACAGGATGTCCCGACTGTTACTTCCAATGCGTGATTGCGCAAATTACGTTGACAACACGTACATTTTTACTACACGGTGGCTAGCTTTCATGTGTATGTGTATCAACTAGAGAAACGATACCCCCCTGTAGTACCTTTTGTAAGTTACCAAATGGTAATGTCTTGGAATATGTAACATAGATGTATGGCTTTGAATGTGTGCCCTTCAAGAAGTTCTCTTCAGGCTGTCTACATTACTTTGACCGTGTTTCTTTTATCTCTTGGAGTTTTCAATTCCTGTCTTATAATTAACCGTTTCTATATCAAATAATTTTTTAGGTGAGTGGTATTTGTTTCTATGGCCACAAACCCGTTAACTTTAAACAAGTTACAACAGTAATCGTAAACGATTTACAAAAAGCGCATTTACACATTAACGAGCTAAATTCATTTTCTAGCCATTTCACCAAAATGATGAGTTCAAAAACACCTTCTGTTGACACTTGGAGAAAATAAGTTAGCAAATAAGGAAGTTGGCTCTTCGCATAACCTTTCTCATTTATTGATGTGTGTTTTCAATTTGTTTTTCTAAGACGCACGATCTATTTTTTAAATGATAGTTAAATTTATTATATTAGGAAGCACTTTCTTTTAACATTTCCGAAAAATCCGCAATTATAAAAAGTTTGATACCAACCTAGGTACTTTAAATTTGTGGTCAGTGGCGTACTTCTATTAAAGAGTACACTTTTTTTGGATATTGCGGTATAAAAACCTTATTAAGTATATTACATAATGAAATTAAGGAAAATACTTAATTATTTGCTGTTTTACTAGTTTGTGTTATTCTGTTGTTAGTTTTGTCAAAACAAATTATAATCTCAAAAATTACTAAAAATTGGACCAATTGAACAGTACATTGCTTTGACATAACAAACAAAAGAATAATGTTTTATGAACGCTAACTAGGGAAATTGTAAAATTAATTAACTATTTTCCTTAATTTGTTTGTTTTTTATTTTGTTTCTATTTTTTTTATTAAATTTTGTTATCTAATATAATATTTTTTGTGTTCTTATATCCAAAATGGTGTGCACTTTAATAATATGTAGGTAATTAAAAATAGTAGTTGCTATTAAAAAATATATATCATTTACAAAATAATAAATCACTTTGTTTCTACGGCAAACCATAATTTCCTATTTTATTATTATTCTCCATCCAAAAAAATATTACCTACTGACAAAACATTTTAAACGGAAAAATTAGGTGAATTTCGATTCACAAATAGGTGTGTATTGATGAATAGTATCCCGATACAAAATATTGCTTACTTTCTTCAATAACCAAGATCATAAATTAAAAAAAAAGTTTTCTGCAAAATTTTTTGTTAGTTGCTTACAATGTTTTTGTCAATGAACCTATCGACATTGTGTTCGACACTATAGGCTGACATGAAAATAATTAATAATTAACCGATATGTTGACACAACCAGATAAGATAAATTATTTTACACTTTTATTCGATCGTAAAGTAGCAAATGAATGTACTAAAATAAAATATGTACCCTCATGAGCCACAGTGGTTGAGTTGACCTAATTGACGCGGTTAAAACTAATTTTGATAGATTCAAGATTCTTTGCAATTCTTGTTATTGAATAAAGTGGGCAAATTACATTTTTGTAGTAATGTAAAAAACTATGTTGGTTCATTCATGTTTATCTACATTCAAAAATAAAATTTATTTAATTGTTCGGCCAACCCAAAAAATACTACTACTTTGTTTAAAACTCGTTCACAAACACTAATCGAATTTGAACAATTTTTTTATTTGTAGAAATTTGTTTGTCCAAATTTTAAAAGCTACGTTTAGATTCATTACTTTTATGTTGAAAAGCCAGTTCGATGGTCTTTTCCAGAGAAATGCTTGGAACAAAATGGTTGGTTTATAGGTAGTTTTTAGAAGACAAAATAACGTAATCATTTAACATAATCTAGGTGACTATAAGAACTCATCTATAGACACAATCATTTTTTAATTCGTCAAAAAAGAAAAAATATAACACCACATTTCAACTGTTATATGCGTAAATGCTTTACTAGCACTAATAATAATAATAATACTTGATTTTAATCCGTGCGATTAGTTAGCCAGACTAGACCTCAGTTCTGAAAAGAGAAACACCCACCATAATAATAGCTTTTATTGAATATTTGAATTAATAAAAAGGTTCCACTTCCACCGTTATTGCAGAGAATGCTTATACTACATGAAAAATGGTCTAAAATGGTTAAATATACCTAGTTCGCGAAAATGCCTACTATAGGCGCGTGTACGTTCATCATTTTTAGCCTGTGATAAATCATCTTTGAATAGGTATATGAGGTAGGTAGGTATACCACGCAGTATACAGCCCTGGCCCTGATGTATCCTTGTATAATTATGTATAGTATGTTATAGTTAAAGGTATACCGTTCGCAAACGAAACATTTTGATCCTTTGTTTGAAAAAAATGTCTGCGTTAGTACATATTTTCGGTAAACCGTATCGTTTCACAAAGTGATCATTGAAGAGGGATTGCAATCAACGGCTTACAGAATTGAAAATAGAATGAACCGTAACAATGGTAGGTAAATGTAGATACGTTTAATACACGGAGTCGTTTTGGGAAGCATAGCATCAGTGGGCGTTCAAACTCTATTGGTTTTTAACGGTTTTTATATTTCTTTTGTAAAGGAAGTCATTGTTAAAGTTAAATTTTGTAAAGTGGAAATGAAGATTTCAAATCTAAACAAGGAGTTATTTATTTATTGTTTTTTCTAAATACCGTCTTAGCTGTTTAGGCACCCTGCCAAACCCATTACCTCAGAAATTTTACACGACACTCCACTTGCGATAATAATCTCTTTCATCGATACCGTACAAAGTGAACGCCGGAAACAATATTTGACTTAATTATTAGAAAATGTACATAGGTACCTACCTATTATAGATTCGTATCTGTAGCAAATAATTACCTACATCGATTTCTTAGCCAAAAAGCCATCCTGTTTGTTAGTCTGCTGTGTGATTCAGCCTATATACTTATAAACTTACACAAGGTCAATTCTGAACATTTTTAACGATAATGTTAATGGAATAATTGTTGAATTGCAATTCCTATGATGCAATCACGTTTGTAGGTATTATAAATGGTTAATGATAGAATGCCAAATTATAAACAGCGTCAATTCCCTTCACGTTTTCGGTGTAAGTATAATAATGCACTGAATCTTTACGCTCTTGAAACTCGTGACTTACACTACACTACCATAAACGAAGACAATTAAAATTGTCCCAATAAGGAATTCTGGACTGCTAATTTAAATTATTGAATATTTCAGAAAGACACTGACAAAGAGATGGAAATGAGATCGACAGATAATTTATGACAATTCTCTCTAAATTGACTTCCATTTAGCATTTCGCAACAGTAGTATGATGATTTTGTATTTTCCGATTTTGGGGTCTGACTAACAGTCGTGTACAATTCGCTTTTACCTAACGTAAAATGGACATTTAGATTGCGTGGTTTGCTTTGCTTCATTATCTGCGCTCCTAGTAACTGGTAGCATTCTATTGACCGTAAAATGATAATGGAACGAAAACTTTTTCGTTTGGAGTGGAAAAAATTAAAACCCAAAGCGGCAGTTCATATTCGAACCACTAAGTTATACAATCTTCATTTTTTTTATTTATTCAGTAATTTACAATGGACAATATAAAACAAAAATAGTAATGTTTATAAAACACATTTATGCCATACTTATAATATTTATATGTGTATACATTACATACATAACACAACAATATGCATATTTGAACACAACAGTAATATTAAAAGAATCTCAAGGAATTGTTTGGACAGAAAATGATCAGACCGAGTAATTCGATTTTAAAAAAACTATGCAAAATAAATAAATATGAGATGTCTATAAATTTCATTTATATTTTGGAATTTGCATTTCATTTTAACACATATGAACAGCAATTTAATCCAAAAATCTCTATGTATAAAACTTTAGTAATAGATGAATTTTGTTTAATTATAGCAAGAACACACTATTTTATAAGTGCATTTCAAAATTTACTTCCAAGAAGAGGCTTTGTTAATATACCCCTCCGCCGAACGAAGTAAAGATTTTTGAAATAACCATTAAATATTTACACATTTCATTTACCTAAAACAAGTCTCTTGAGGGAGCTAGAAATGCGGTAATAACATACAGAGTTGACAAAGAACTACCAGTTTACCATTTCATGATGCATGCAGTAGTTAATTTGAAATTCGGTTCTCTAGAGAAGTTTACTTTATCTTTATACTAGTAGTAAGCAAAACACCAACAAAACAATATAAAAAACAATTTTAAATTTTACAAACTCAATATTGCTCGATAAAACCAACAGGAAAAAATGAGCAGCTAAAAATTGGGGCTAAACAAAAACTTCCTTGCAATTAGGGTGTTTACTCTATGCAATAGCCGTATACAAGAAGCCACAGATATACAGGTACCTAAACTCTTCTAAATATTTACAATTGATTAATAAGTATGCTGCGTATAATTCTATGTTTGATTAATTAAAAAAAAGGTTGATTTGTACCATAATTGTTTCTCTTAAAACATTTGCAAAGAGTAGCAAAACGTAAAGTACTTTGTATGTTTATTAGTTTCGTTTAGGAATTGAGAATATGTCATAGCTGAAAATAATTAAAAATAGTGGTTCGTAGAAGTTTTAATGCTTAACTGAAGATAAATTAGGTTATTGACTCCACGCATATAAAGTTTTATCACTTTGACTTTTCGGTGAAAAAGTAAGAATTCAACAAAAATAATTATATTGCACATATTGATCTGTTATTTATAGTAACTATACGCGTTGAATAAGCCACATGGAAAGAAAACGGAACAGCGTTTATTTAGACACACTAATTTAATTATGTGGGTGCTCATATGAAACTAAGGACAAAGATTCCACATTTAGGCAAGTAGCGGAAATATCTCCGTAAGTAATTTATTTATGCAGATGCTCCAATCAGATAACAATTTTTGTAATTTAAAGTAGGATTTTTACATACACTTATTATTTAAATGGTTTCATAATATAATTAGAGCATCAATCTGTACATAAAAGTTTTATAAAACAATTTTAAATGCGAACAAAACCACAGATAACAGGTGAAAGAACTATATAAACATACAAAGGTTAACTGCAAGTAAAAATTAAGTAACACTTGCGTCTATAAAATATCGTAGGTTACTATTTTACTATGTGTAATAATTTACTATACATTTAGATTACGAGCAATATGGATTACATTGTGAAATACCAGTTTACTTAAGGACTAATACAATGACAGTCGAAATATGTACATTAATGGTTTGCCTTACGTGAACTAAATCACTTCAGCTTCGATACTGGGAATTGCTCGTATGGGTTTATTTGACGCTACGCATCACCTTACATAAACTTGCACAAGCCCAATATACTGTTCAGTAACAACAGAGTTTTAGGTTATAAAACTAATAAACTAACACCGATTTGGTATCACGTACCTTAAAACACATTTTATTCTTTGGCACAGCAAAGCACTACTCTGGGGTTGAGGCAACTAGCACTTCTGTATCATTAACCATCTTATTTAGTGTAATTTTGTCAAACAGAGTAATTTAATCGAAATAATTTAGGATGTTAGACCGTGGTGATGATGACCTAATACAACCCCAGAGAATGACATGGGTCACTGATGATGCTTAAGCGTTCCGTTAGCTGCCACGTGGTGATTCACTACATGATGTGGAGTGTGCGGATGATGTGTCACATGGTGCCCATGGTGATTTTGATTATTTGTAGTGGCATTGTTATTATTTTGTTGTTGTTGCGATTGCCTTTGGGAGTTTTTTTTATTTTTCATTCTCCGATTTTGAAACCAAATCTTTACTTGTCTTTCGGTTAAATTTAAATTTCGCGCCAATTCCCAGCGTTTCTGTTTCGAGACATAAGCGTTAAATAGGAACTCTTTCTCAAGTTCTAAAGTTTGAAATTTTGAATACGGTTTACGTTTCTTTCGAACTGTAACTTGACCCGTCCACTCTAAAGGATTTGTACTCGCCCCACAAGGTACACCCACACCCATCGAACTTAAGGAACCTGAAACGAAAAAGAAAACAATTTACGTAATAGCTTGAGCTCTCCAGCAACCACATATTAAAAATAAAAAGTCATAACAATATGTTAGATTGTTTTTATGCAAAACAATACAAAAACATCTGACTCGGTGCACTTTTCATCGGTTATTCATATGTCGCGGATGTTAGGTATTTTATGTATTATTAAAATGCTTTTAGCCAAACTTTAAAAAAAAATTTGAAATCTCACCATCAAACTGCTGGAACGTGTAGAAGGCAACTTTTGGATGTTTCTGGGCGAAAGGATAGGCTTAAACGACAAAATAAATTGTACTTTTAAATTTCATTTTTTTTTAAATTACACTTAGTTTAACCATTATGATTAGATTAAATGTGATTATTCGAACAATGATCAAGGTGAATGATATGATAATTAGCACCATGAAACGTATACCTATATTGAGGCTATAGGTCGTGATGCAATCGTAAAGAAGTACCTATATTTACAAATTTGATTGTATTGACACAAATTCATACGTTATAAAGCGTTGAAATGAAACAATTACGAGATAAACCGTTTTAAAAATGAAGGTTTTTAATTTGAATAAATTATATAGTGTTTAAATAAAATGCTTTTTAAAAATATCTGATATGTAGAGCGTGTAAACTCTAGTTCCGGCGAATTAAGCTAATAAGCATTCACTGTAATTAAACAATGTGGATTTTATGCAAATGAATGGTATAATAATAAGGTTTAGGATTTTTGGTAGTAATCGTGTTAGAATTCGATTTGTAGTACTTCATTGCTATTTAGGTACTATGAAAGTTGCAGCAGTAGTAAACGATAGATGGCATTGAATATTATGGAATATGTGCGAAAGGTCTTTTTTGCACATTTAAGACACACAATAAAGAGCAAAATAACTTCAAGCCAATTGTATAACACTGCCACATTGAATTTATTTAGAGCTTATAGACAATAAAGAATGCACACTAAATAAGTAGGTATCTATAGGTATGTTATTTGCCACGCGTCCATTATAGCTAGAAAATTAAAATTCGTAATTTTATACGTTAGAAAATTGTTTTTTTTTCTGAAACTATACTTTTGCAACAACTACTTTCGTCTCTAAAACGGGTGAACAAAATGTAATTTTGCTCTCTAGTGAGGGAAGTATAAACAATTGCTGCGTTAATCTCAATTATGGCATTTAAAAAACATACCTGCATTTAGATTGCTACGTGTCAAACTTCATTATTGCATACGATAATTT